TCCTACATCAGATCTCCAGAGGGTTGTTGTCAACGACCTCGTTTGATTTCGTCCGCAGTCGCTGTGCTGTACCAGTGTTCCGGAAAATTCCAGACGCATCAGGGTGATGCGCTGTGATTGTTACGTAGTCCAGTTTTTAATCATTTGATGTCCTGCAGTCCTACAAGTTCTAAGCCAGTTTCCTGTCCGGGGTAATCGTAACCAACACCAGTGGTGGAGAGTTCCATCGTTTAATGGGTTTCTACCAGAAATCAGGTATCTGAAAGTCTGTAAACCAAGGTATGAAAGACCTTCAGTCTAATAAGTAATAACTTCAGTGAATCTAATAAATTTATATTTTGATTTATCATTTAACTTTTATTTATAAGAATAATTCTTTAATCGTATTAATTGTGCTTAAACTTAACCTGTTGTAAACCTTAGTGATCACGGGGTAATATTAATTGTGTCTTTTACTCTAATAATTTTGAATTCAGAGAATTTCTCTTTAACTTTAGTCATTTTTCTTGTCATTTTAAATCATTTTGTATCATAAAAAAGCTCTAGGTAAATGTATACCTATCTATTTGATCTATGAAATTTTGTAAATACCCGTATTTTTTTTTATAGTAAATGCCATAATACCGACTCTGGCGTTTTATTTATTTAACTTTTAAGATAAACAGTATTATTAACTATTTAATGACCCACACCTTTTGTCCCGACAGCTAGCCGAAGTGGTCTTCTTCTCTAAGCTCTAGGAGAACACTATAACCTTTTTTTTGTAACGGTTTTTCTAAATTCTAAATAATAATATACAAAATTTAGGAGGTTACCAACTAACACCGATTTTTGAGTTATAGTAAACAAACCCCGTTATACCCTCTTTAGTCCTACAATTTCGTCATCAATTTCAGTTTCTGTATTTATCTAATAATGTTTTACCCAATTCCAAAGACATGGGCAAAATTGTTGATTCCGTTACATAATTTTCTCCAGAGTTTCTGAAATGTTTTGAATTGGGATGAGTAATTCCAGGATAACATTGAGGAGTTTTAAATCGTCAGCGTTTAATGTAAGGTTTCTGTAATGACCATTGTTATAGGTTTGTAAAAAATTTGAGAGATATTTCTTACTGAACAATTATCTTGATTAAATTTAAAAGGGACCACCATCGCGTTTTAGAAAAGAAGGGAATTTTTGTTTTCTTTATGTTGTATTTTTCCTGAATTATTTTTAAATCTCTAACAGCTTTCCAACTATGTGCAAAAATATGAATTTTTTTAATCTTGCCCATAGTTTCGCTTATTATTGCTGAAGTTATTAATGTTACTTTTAACCAACTGATGACGATGACATCAATTTTTCTATTGCGTTCATAAGCATTTCATTAGGGGGAGGGCAACGGACTTTTTCCATAATTTTTTTTGTGTCTGTCACTTTTTGGCATTAAAATAGGAAACTATGGAAGTTTTACTCAAGAACAAGAGTTCGATGTAATCATTGGGCGATTATCAAAATAAATAATCGATTATTTAAAATAATTTAATCGGAAATAATCGAAAATAATCGAATAATCGAAAATAATCGATTAATCAAAAATAATCGATTAATCGAAAATAATAGATTAATCGATTAATCGAAAATAATGGATTAATCGAAAATAATCGATTAATCGAAAATAATGGATTAATCGAAAATAATCGATTAATCGAAAGTAATCGATGAATCGAAAATAATCGATTAATCGAAAATAATCGATTAATCGAAAATAATCGATTAATCGAAAATAATTGATTAATCGAAAATAATCGATTAATCGAAAATAATCGATTAATCTAAAATAATCGAAAATAATCGATTAATCGGAAATAATCGATTAATCGAAAATAATCGATTATCGATTTAAAAAATATATAATGATCGACTATTCGACTAATCGATTATTAATTGATTAATCGATTATTTTGCCCACCCCTAATGGTAAGTAGGCAATCTAAGAATTTCAATTCTTTTTTCTCGGGCCATCTCGTCTATATTATATTTTTTGAATTTGTTTTTATGTTGGCTATTACGAGTAATTCTGCCTTCAAGGATTTAGTAGGACTGATAATATTTTTAGAATGAAGCCATTTTGAAATATCTTCTTTTTACCATCTTGTTGTAGTTAGTGACTCCTTTAATCGACTGTGATAGGATGCATTATCCAAAACAATAACGGAGTTGGATGGAATTTTTGTATAATATTCTGTAATCAATTTTCAAATATACAGCCATCCATTTCTTCAAGGTAGTCTTTTGTTTTCTTTGACTCGAACATTAGTAAACCATCTAGCAAAAATCCATCGTTGCTTCCAATGTAGGTTATTATTAAACGATTTCCTTTTCCTGTTAGAGAACCCTTCCATAAGCTTGTTTTTTAGTTTTGATGGAGGTATCTTACCAAATTTTTGTTATTGTATGTGCAGCATTGCTTCATCTAAATAAAATACCTGTTTTATGCTGATTCCTTGCGTCTACTGTTTTCCTTAAATAATCATGTCTCCACGAAATGATTTTGTCTTTCTCTTTTAAGAAGCTGTTTCTGTCACGTTTTCTGTAACAAATGAAATTCATGTAATATTTTTGCAGATGAAAATATGATAAGAGTGGGGCTATTTTTTATTTCTGGGTGTATTTTTAAGTTACTAATTTTATTTAGAAAGCAAAAAGTTTGTACCATATACCATTTGCCTTATTACACGCTTTGCCTAAGTTTCAGTAAAGGTCATGTTTCTTTCTGGGGGCTTTTTCGGATGTGAGACTTCTCCAATAACTGTATCTTCTTTAATATTGTTATACACTGTCCGCTTAGATATTCCAGTATAGGTCCCACATTTAGCGGCAATTTCATCCACATAAAGTGAAACAAAGTCTTTTCGAAGATTATTAAATATATTAGGAGAGATATTTTTTCTTCTAAAGAATACAATTTTTGAAAATATATCAGTATATTCCTTAAATCAAAAGACATGTAAAAAAAAATAAAAACGGTCAGACAAAAATCAAGTAAAGAGCTCTCTTAAAACAGGTAATTTGAATATTTAAGAAGAAAATGTATGGAAAAATAATTGGAAATTTAGGAAATTATTTGCAATGATTCCGCTGAAATCACTGAAATCGTATAAAACTAAAAAAGATTTCTCGAAATCACCGAAATAGTATAAATTTAAGGGTTATTTCAGGGAAATCACCAAAATCATATGAATTCACCGGTGAATTTTAGATGATTTCCGAAATACGGGTGTTTTATACTTGGTTTACCCCTCGAAACATAGAAAAAATAAACACCGTTTGCACTAGAATTGTACGACAAAGTCAGATATACTGTACTCGCTTCGGCGGTACATATACTAAATTGGAACACGATACAGAGAAGATTATAGGTTTGTTTTGGTTCACGTTCTGGAATTGTTCCAGAACCATGCGCAGAACTATTGCGCAATGGTCCTTAATTCTGAACAGTTCTGTAACCATTCCCTTGTGTTCGAAACCAAAACACTGCCAGAACAGTTTAATGTCAAAGAGTAAATTGTAAATAATAAAGAATACATAACACAGGTCAGTGTGTCTGGGTAAGAAAGAGGCCCAATAATATTGTAAAACCTAGATAAATTAAATAATTTATTCGTAAAAAATCTTATGACCCAACATCAACTAATCAACTGCTCCATTCTCATTAGTCATTCGAAAATTCCTTGTAAAATACCAACACTAAACATGGCCAGGATCTCAAAAGCAAAACTACTTGCAAAAAAGCGCAAGCGCGAACATATCAATTCTGAAACAGTTCTCGCTTTAAGCCAGAACCGACATTACTGTTCGAGAATGGTTATAGAACCATTTCCAAGAAAAACCAAAACACCGAACTTACAGGTTCGGAACAGTTCTGGAGAAACCAAAACAGCAAATATCTATTGCGCATGCTCCAAAGGTTCTGGAAGAGTTCCAGAACAGTTACGAAAGTGAACCAAAACAAAGCTTATAGCGCAAGTAAAAGTTGGAAAGGCTTTTGGTAGGTATAAAGGGGGTAAACGTCAAACCACGTCTGACGGCTTCGAGAATGTTGAAGTAATATTTACCCGCCAGTGTCGTTTCATAGAATAAGTAATTGTAACTTGTTACCAGCGGAACTGGACAATCGTATGTATTTATGGACTATAGATAATTATTAAACATGTATTATAATATTCAAATCATAATTTTAGAAAATTTCAACAGCTATTCACAATTTATTAAACTATTTACTCGAAATTATTATTAACATCTATAAAATAATTTTGTACGCCAATATATCGCGTCCACTTCGGTGAGATCCGCCGCAAACCTGTCAATTTATGTGTATAAAGTGGGAGAACTGGCAAAAGCCTTTCCAACTTCTACTTGTGCTGTAGCATGGGCCCTGCGCAAGTATGACACGCAAAATCGTGAAGCGTTCAACATTTTTTTAACCAAAAAAAAAGTCAGACATACACTTAGAACAACATGTTTAACAGATACAAAGCGAAGCAATGGAAATGCAACAAGTGATTACCTGACGGTAGAGATCACCAATGGCTGCCGTTTTAATTTATTTTCTTTTAGATTGATTACCATAAGTTGATTATTATAAGGCAGAAAAATAATTATTGATCTTTTCTTATAGTCTATATACATTTTAGAATCTTATAAGAAGAGTAACTTTTTTGTTTTAGAAGCTTATTTAGCTAATTTTGTAGTGTAAACATAAAAGTACAGCATTTTTTCCAATTTTTTTCAAAGATAAAACCAAAAAAATCGCATTTTTAGTTTTTTTTTTGTGGAATTTTTCCATATGGTGCAACTTTAAGGGTGACACTGTATATCTTAACATTAAATGGATTTTTTTTGTTTCTCTTCGCCCACTTGTTCGTTTTTCTAAGATGTTCCGGACCTCGAACTTTACGGGTTTCGATTCGATATGGTACATTTAGATAATCCAGCACAAACCGCATTTTTTTCAGAAAAGTGTCTAACGATGAAAACCGTGCAGGAAGCGATAAACCTCCTGAGAGGAGCAGTTACCATCGTGTACCCCATGAAACTGCCACCCCACGATGTCATTCGAATGGAATTCGAAAATATCGAGGATTTGGCCGGCACTCAAGCGTCTCTAGAGGTCATCGATCCCACTACAGCTCAAATTTGGTTTTGTGGTAAAGAAATGTATAGGTAAATGCGAATAAATCTTAAATAAATGTAGGAAAATTGCGGCAAAGAAAATTGACCAAAGAAATATTGGATATCAATAAAAACTTAGAAGCTCATTATGCTCATTTCGGCAGAAAAATTTATATTACGTCCTTTTTTCTTAGTAACCACTTTACGGTTAACAATTTTTCTTGATGTAAGTAAAATGCGGCAATTTCCTCGGCAATTCCTATTAATCATAACAGAAATTGCTGTCTGTGTAGCATCAAAAAGTTCGTCAACTTTGTTTAACATATAAAAGAAATATACATCACATAACAGATAACTATTAAGACGATGGTGAACAAAAGGATTGGTGATAGGTCTACTAACCAATTATTTATCACCATCTTTTAATAAAAATACAGGGTGTCCCAGTTTTTAATTTACAGACCTTGACTATACTTCTGTATATATTATTTGGAAAAAGTTTCTAGTAATTGAATTTATTAAGTATACAAAATGCATTTAGATTTTTTGCTTACTTGCTACATCCAAGGTAATTTGAAGGTCAACTTTGTATTTTAAAATGGAAGCATATATTTTTAAATGGACCTTAAAACAAAACAATTATATTTAAAATGTAAACATCGTATTATAATATCACACAGAACAGTTCGTTTCTGGTTCGTTTACCAATCAATATAGTCAATATTTGTTGTAGTGAAATAGCCGTTCCAAATTTAACACGACCTTGATTAATTTTCTGCTATTTTTGTTGTTGCTAAATGTATTTGCTACATTTTACAGTTTGATTCTACATCATTTTGGCATTAATAATCAATTGATTGAAGCTTGAGCTAATGTTCTCAGGCTCTAATCAGATTATTATTGCCAAAAATTATGTATCTACAAATTGATATCAAAAATGCCCAAAATTTAGATACAATAAAAATACCCGACTATTAATCAAGGTCTCATTATATTACCCTTGAAAATTTACCGAAATAATAGCCGGAGAGCTAGTAACACACATTTCATTAAGTGTTTGATGCACTTTGAAATTTTGTAATTTGAAATCATTTGGATGGAAAAGCAGATATACCTGTGTTGGCTAGTCCCACCCCGGGACACCAGGTACTGCGCATAATAGAAAGGGGTCTTAAAATATGACCCAAAAGGAAGTGTTTGATTCAGAGGCCAACAAACAACAATTGAAAGTTTAGGTAATTCTAAAAATACTAGAAATTTAGGCAGACACTTTTGAGAGGGTTTATAATTGATAAATCAACCCCAAAGTTGATTTTTTTTAAATATGATTTAAAGTGTTTGATTCACGCTGAAATTTTAATAGCGTCTTAATTAAATATAAAAAAAATTAATTCCAAAAAGGCAGGCACTTTTTCCGGGGTTTAATTGCCGGCCAACATTAAAATAAATGAACCTCGTTATGCGCCACTATGCATTGTATAAGTATATACTTTTTAAAAACTAAACATTTTAAATTACCAAGACTGTGAAATAATAAAACAATAATATTTGTCCTTTCTTTTTAGGAAAAAAAAAACAAAAAACATGTTTTGGGGCTCGAACCACCAACTTACTATCCACACTATCAAAATTTGGATAGCGTGGATAGCAAGTTGGTGGTTCGAGCCCCGAAACTTTCAGTTTTTTTTTGTTTTTTTTTCCTAAAAAAAAGGAAAAATATTGTTTTATTATTTCACAGTCTTGGTAATTTAAAATGTTTAGTTTTTAAAAAGTGTATACTTATTCAATGCATAGTGGCGCATAACGAGGTTCATTCATTTTTATGTTGGCCGGCAATTAAACCCCGTAAAAAGTGTCTGCCTTTTTGGAATTAATTTCTTTTATATTTAATTAAGACGCTATTAAAATTTTAGCGTAAATCAAACACTTCAAATTTTATTTAAAAAAAATCTACTTTGGGGTTGATTTATTAATTATAAACCCTCTCAAAAGTGTCTGCCTAAATTACTAGTATTTTTAGAATTACCTAAACTTTCAATTGTTGTTGGTCTCTGAATGAAACACTTTTTTTGGGTCATATTTTAAGACCCCTTTCTATTAGGTATGTGCAGTACCTGGTGTCCCGGGGTGGGTCTAGCCAACACAGGTATATCTGCTTTTCCATCCAAATGATTTCAAATTACAGAATTTCAAAGTGCATCAAACACTTAATGGAATGTGTGTTACTAGCTCTTGGACTATAATAGCAAAAATATATACTCTTTACGAATTGACAACAGGAAAAGAAAACCGATTCCTTTCCAAAAAAATTTTGATAGCTATTTTTTGTGATTTATCAAAAAAAAGGAAGTCATTCACTTTGTGAAAAATATATTCGATGCTAAAAGAAATTATAAAAGGTGAAACAGGAGATATATATTTCAAGATACAACAAATTGAAATCATTGTTGAAACGGTCCTCTGATAATTATATATAGTCGTGAAGAAAGTACAGTTTGTTACGCTGTTGAAATTAAAATTCAATACTCGCTAAGCTTATATTCAGAAATTTCTAGTCTTATCAAATTTTCATTCCAAGCTTTTTACAGAATATACTATTACATACCCTTCCAGTGAATATGTAAACCAGTGCCCGATTAGTTCATAAGCAAATAATTGTTTAGGGCTTCACGTCTTGGGGGTATCAGAAACAGCCCAAAAAAAATTGTTAGCACATGAATGGTAAGGCTGTTAGGATATCCTCGCGATTTAAATTGAGAAGAGAGTTGACGTACGGGGTGATAACTCCGCTCCCGCTTGTACTTCAGCAGCTAATTTGTCAGATAAACTACAGGAGTTTGAGTTCGTACTTATGTTGGTCATGTGAGACAAAATTTTGCAAAACAGGAGATATATATTTCAAGATACAACAAATTGAAATCATTGTTGAAACGGTCCTCTGATAATTATATATAGTCGTGAAGAAAGTACAGTTTGTTACGCTGTTGAAATTAAAATTCAATACTCGCTAAGCTTATATTCAGAAATTTCTAGTCTTATCAAATTTTCATTCCAAGCTTTTTACAGAATATACTATTACATACCCTTCCAGTGAATATGTAAACCAGTGCCCGATTAGTTCATAAGCAAATAATTGTTTAGGGCTTCACGTCTTGGGGGTATCAGAAACAGCCCAAAAAAAATTGTTAGCACATGAATGGTAAGGCTGTTAGGATATCCTCGCGATTTAAATTGAGAAGAGAGTTGACGTACGGGGTGATAACTCCGCTCCCGCTTGTACTTCAGCAGCTAATTTGTCAGATAAACTACAGGAGTTTGAGTTCGTACTTATGTTGGTCATGTGAGACAAAATTTTGCAAATCTTCCGAAAAGTCAGCAAGATATTACAAGACCCAAAAGTAATTCTAGAGACGTGCACTAATCTTTACAAATCTACAAAGCGCTCGTTGATTTTTTTAGAAAAATTACAGAGCGACTCAATTTAGAAGCCCGCGCAAAAGAAAAGATGTGAATTTTAGAGACACTCGTCAAAGATGAAGACAAAGTGCCCAATGACGGTCCAGCTCCTGAAGTAACAGAGAACAATTTAAAATCATGAATTTTTAGCGTCATTGAAAAATTAAATGTATAGATGCGAAGAAGAGGAGAGATATACAAAAAAATAACAGTTAAATTCTCATTCCTCACTATAGTTTATGTGAAAACGCATGATAGCACAGTTTTTATGGCAAAGATCTATATACAAAGCAGAAAAAAGTAAATATTGATAGTTTATCTAAATTTTCAGTAGATTTTAGTATGACCACCTTGAAGAATTTCGAATACAATATATTATAAAATGTAAATGAGCAAACTCTAAGGGATTAACCAATAATTCTATACCTCAGTGACAGGGAACACGAAATTACTTTAATATAGAAAATAGTAAACTGTTAATATTAAGTATCCACATTTATTTTTATAAAAATAGTATACTAGATATTAAGTTAGGACATTTCCTTAAAATTTAATAATAAATATATTCACAACCAAATTTATATGATGTACTTAAAAATAATCTTTGCAAAAAAAATATGTTTCTCATAAAACACTCATATTTTGTTTTTAAAATTACGGGGTGAATCCATATAAATTTTTTTGTTTGTATTTCGGGTACTAGCATATAAACTTATTATTATTAATGTAAACAGTTACATACCTAAATAAATAAGTGGTTTTCTACCGATAAGGAGTCATCATCATGAGTTTTCTTACTACCCACAGAAATAATAATTGATTGTATTGTTTCCTTTATTACCATATCAGTTTTCCAGTATTTGTCTTCTTCTGCTATGACATGTCTGCCAATTGTCCGGTAAAATTTTTGATATGGAGTCACATAATAGTTGACGAACATCTTGAAAGTTAAATGTTCTATTGTTTCTCGAGACATATCCCTTAATGTGAACACAGATTAGTTCAGTAGGATTAGGTTCATAGTGATAAGCTGGTAACCACAACACTTTAACTCCATGCTATTTCATCTACATTATACTTCTTAAATTTTGGTGAATGTTATTTACATAATTGCAATAGCTCTTTTTTGAGTAATCCTCTTCTGCCACTATTTCTTTGTTTATTAGCCAATCAGAGAGTTCTTGGTTTTTCCATTTAGTGTTAGGTAACGGTTCTTTTAATCTTAAATTGGCAACTGGCATTGTCAAGAATTATTACAAAATTGGTCGGTAATAAATCTATCATTTGACTAAAATATTCATCAAAAACATCAGCAGTTATTTCTTCAGAATTTGAAACAAATTCTAAGAAGCCTTTATCAACAAATGTTGTATCTCCTGCAATACTCGTATGAGTGATAATTAAACGGCGACCTTTACCATTTGAAAATTTTAAGCCAGTAGACATACCTTCTACTATAAATGTCTGACTAGCATTTGTAACCTGTTTATCTTGCCAAACTTATTTTACAAAATGTCCATGTTTCATTTAAATAAAAAATATTTTTGTCTTCTCGTCTTACTTCTCTAATTTCCCTTAAATATTGCCTTCTCCAA